TGCTGGATACTGGATCCCAGGTGACCCTACAATATAGGGACTTCATGACAATCACTTGAAACACATACCCCTACTGTCAGAGAATAAGAAGATCGCCGTGGCGCACGAATCTGCGCATGCGTGGGATCCCGACAAGGCATACAGGCATGCGGGCTCTAGGACCAAGGCGCGCACGGCGGCACTTGCGACCGCACATGCGACTGCACATGCGCACTCCCGCTCACGGATGCCGCCTGTCACCAATGACGGCGCCGAGCGGGCTATTTAAACGGGCCACTTCAGTATCCAAATTGCCATATGGTCTTATTCTCCTGCCTGTGATTCCTGATTCTGATTTGTTTCCTGTTGCTGAACCCAGCCTGCTCCTGACTACTGTTGACCATCTCCTGCCCTAACCCCTGGCTTGTCTCTGGATATTCTTCTTCCTGCTCCTGATCATTTGACCTCCTGTTGTTGAACCTGGCCTGTGACCCGACTATCCTTCTGCCTGCTGCTCTGGTCTGCTCTGCCTCCTCGGATACCAAACCCGGGTTGTCTGATTCCGCTATTTGCCTCACGGTGCACCTGCATCCATCCATCCTGCACGGATCCATCCGCATCCTGCTCTGGTCTGCCTCTTCCATCCATCCTGCACGGATCCATCCGCATCCTGCTCTGTCTGCTCCTCACCAGTCCTACTACTTCATCAGATGGATCCCAGGCTCTCTTACCCCACTGTGCTCCTGTGACTGCTGTCTCACTTTCAGCGACTCCCAATCCGGGGTTGTACAAGAGGTCTGCCTCTTCACGTCAGGCTCACTACTAAGGTACGTGACACCTACGGAAGCTAGAAGAGATAGAGATTTGGGGTTTGGGACCCAGAAGTGCCCATATGATGGCTACATACCTGTTTGTCTAGTCTTTGGCCCAACTATCACAGGGAGAACCAAGACTTTCTACACTCTAGCAGTAGTTTGCCCTAGGCCTTCTGGGATAAAACAGTGCTCCCTGCTAGAACAAAAGGAATGGGCTGGAATGTGTAGATTTATTTGGAACTACTCAGAGACAATTGTCAAAACATTTTAGCACACAAATAACAATCGGGAGAAATGTTGATGCGTTTCACTCTCTGTAGCATTTATCCATAACTCCCTGCTAATCGGGACCAATACTAACCTGGTTCGCAGGCTACTTACTCCACTGACTGAGCAGAATACTATCCTCATTGAGAGTATTCACCCACAGCTAAGTCAAGTTTATCAGCGAAGTTTATCAGCATTTTTTTGAGAGATGTGAGAGGTCCTGAAGGGGAAGTGGGAAAGGTTTGGAAGAATGAACCTGAAGAGAAAGTACTGCAGCCAGAGGTGGTTACTTGCTTAAGAGCTTGAGTCAAACTGACCTGGGATCGATTGGGGCCCTTTGTGGTACTGGAAACAGATAGCACCAGGGGGGCAGATGGAGTTGAAATAATTCCAAAGTGATTACCATGAAAACTTTGCAGCACAGCAGGGGTAATGTCCTTGTCAGGGTCTGCAACAACACTGCAGACCCCATCACCCTCAAGCCCAGAGCACTGTTGGGGCAAGTGAATGTAGCTATGCTAGTCAGTGCACCTGAGTCATCTGATGACATGATCAGTGGAACTGGAGGGCAAGAAGTGGACTGGCCAGTTGGCAGAAGGTGTTTTCTAAGAACGATTACGATGTTGGGTGCACAAAGAGTGCCCAACATCAAATTTTGCTTCATGAAAACAAACCATTCTGGGAATGAGCAAGACAGATCCCCTTGGGGGACCTGGAAGATCTTAGAGAGCAGTTGGCAGAGTTGAAAAGAGCTGGGATTATTCTGGAATCCAGGATCCCCTACACTTCCCCTATGTTGGTAGTGCGGAAGAAGAATGACACTCTACAAATGTGTATGGATTATAAAACTCTAAACAATCCAACTAACCCAGACCAATACACCACCCCTCAGATTGACAATGCATTACAGTGCCTGTTGGGAGCCAAATGGTTTAGTGTTCTGGACTTGAAGAGTGGGTATTACCAAGTATTCCCTCCATACAAAAGGGAATTCCTCCTGTAACATTTTTTTCTCTCTATTTAGAAGATTTCTATTTAAGATCTGTTTTAGTTGGATTAATTTTTAAGTTTGCCATCTCTCCATATTCTTTAAAAGATTTCATTAAGTTTGGCAATGTTATCCTTGGATTTCCTACATAGAACAACATGTCGTCTGCATAAGCTGCCAGTTTGTGCTCAATTTCTCTTACCCAAATTCCTTTTATAACTATATTATTCCTGATGGTAGCCAAAAGAGATTCCAAAGATAGGACATATAACAATAGGGATAGAGGGCATCCCTGTCCTGTTCAATTCTGCATCCCAATATACTCAGATAATTCCCCATTAACCCTTATTGCTGCTGAAGGATGGCTGTATAATTTCCTTACTCATTCTCTCAATCTAGGTCCAATACCTATTACTTTCAAAGTATCTAACATATATCCCCAATTTACTCTGTCAAATGCTTTTTCAGCATCAACCGAGAGTACAAACACAGTAATTTTCCTTTCCTACTTTACAATTATTATAAGGAACAGGGATCTTAATCCATTGTCTCTACGCTCTCTCCCTGGGACAAAACCTACTTGATCTATATGTATCCATTTTGGCATTAGGTCCTTCAATCTACTTGCCTGTACTTTTGCATATAGTTTAGTGTCTAAATTTATTAAGGAAATCGGTCTATAGCTTGAACAGTGAGTATCGTCTTTGCCTGAGGACCACATGAGGACCACATGAGCTTGCAGGGATTCCCTCCTCATTTCCATCTCTCCTCCTAAAGCATTCATATACATTCTCAGTTTAGGTAGTAATATTTCTTCATATTTTTTATAATATCTCATTGTATACCCATCGGGTCCTGGACTTTTCCCTACTACAGTGCTTTTTAATGCTAGGTGTATTTCTTCCTGAGTTATTGCTGTTGCCAGGGATTTTAATTGTTCTTCACTTAGTTTCGGTAATCCCGCCTTTTTTAAATATTCCTGTCTTCTATCTGTTTTTCTCACTTCTTCTTCTAGGGTAACCTGAGGCTTAATGTTATATAACTTATTATAATATTCTTTAAACACTTTTACTATATTTTTGGTTGAATGAACTAATTCTCCTTTATTATCTCTTATTTTCTCTATATAGTTCCTAGATTTTTTTCCTCTGAGCCCTCATTAAGTACTTTTCTGGTCTATCTCCCCATCTATATCTCTCACTTGTTATTTTATTAAACACTCTCCTCTTCTCTTCTTCCAGGAAATCATTTGGTTCTTCTTTTATTTATTATCTTCTGCTTGATCTCTTTTGTTACTCTATTTTTATGTGTCTGCTCTAAGTCACAGAGTTCACTAAAAGATGTGTGTATTTCTCTTATTTCCCTCTTCTTTTTTGCTCCTATCGCTATAAAATTCCTCTGATATAGACCTTATGAGCTTCCCACACCGTAGCTACAAGCACTTCCTCGGAGTCATTTTCTTTAAAAAATTGCTCTATTTCCTTCTTAATTTTCCGGTCCGTCTCTTGATCCTGGAGAAGTGACTCATTCAACCTCCATAATTTTCCTCCCCTTTGCTCATTTCCCCAAAGTAATTGCATTGTGACGGGGGCATGGTCAGAGATCGACATGGCTTCTGTCAGGGACCCCAGATCTTTCCACGATCGCGCATGGGTCTGTGCATGCGCGGTATGCCCGGTCGCACTAGTGTGCGAGCATTGGGACCTGGGCACCCGCGACGGCAGCAGTGGTCGCGCATGTGCACTCACGATCGCGGACTCGCGCCTGGCACCAATCAGGGCGCAGGGCACCCTATTTAAACAGGTCAGGTCTGTGCTCTAATTGCCGTATGGTCTTATCTGTATCCTGTGTTCCTGAATTAGATTGCTTGTTACTGACCCTGCCTGACTTTGATTCGCTGACTGTCTCCTGCTCTGATACCTGGCTTGCCTGACCATTCTCCTGTCTAATCCTGCACGTTTTGATCTCCTGTTACCGAACCCGGCTTGTGACCAGTTTATCCTTCTGTCTACTGTTTTGTACCGTTCTGCCTCAATCGCTACTGACCCGGCCTGCCCGACTCTGCTCTTTCTACCTCCTTACATCAGGCTCTAACCTGCTATACACCTCCGGCAAGTGCTTCTACCACAGCTGGGTGCACCCAGGGGCCACGAACTGGTTTCGGTCTGCTCCAAGTCCATCCCCACCATCAGGGGCCCCGGTGAACAAGCAGGTCGGGGCTTAGATTCCGCGTCTTGGGGAATTCTGGTCTGTGGAACGCTAGAGGCTACCGCTGTCAAGGCTCCCGGTAAGACCAGAGATGCGTGAACTGACACAGGGAAACGCAGGCTCAAGTATGGTGTAACAATATAATTTATTAAAGGTTATACACAAATATCAACGCACAATATAACAAACCAAACCTCCAACTGATAACGGAATGTACACAGACAAGAGCAGTCAGGGCTGGTGAGGTGGAGTGGTCAGGTGGGCCGGGTCAGGAACCATCGGGCAGACAAGACACAAAGGAGTAGGCAGAGCGTAGTCAGACGGGACGGGTCAGGAACAATCAGGCAGACAAGGTACCGAAGGAGCAGGCTGGAGCGTGGTCAGGAATAGCCGAGGTCAGGACAGGCGGAGTTCATACAGGGTCAGAATCAAAGCAGAATCAGGAATCAGGCAGGAAGCAGACAGGATGCAGGTCATGGGAAACATACACCAAGGCACTGACTGCAGGTCTGGCCATCCCTTAAATACATCTCCTGCAATCAGCCTCAGGTGATGGCTGATTGCAGGAGTGAGCTTCTGGTTGCTGAGAGCACCCGCTGGCCAGCCCTGGTACTGCAGCCCACAAGGCAGGTGAGTCCCACCACCATTGGCGAGTCCATTCCTGACAGTACCCCCCCTCAAGGAGCAGCCTCAGGACGCTCCAAACAGTCCTTAGTGGGCAAAATGTTCCACCGCCTGGGTCAGGTAACTGGCTGGATATCAGGGGCTGGCACATCAGGCTGGGCAGCGGACGGAGGCACATCAGGCTGGGCAGCACGCACATCAGGCTGGGCAGCAAGCAGAGGCATATCAGGGTCAGCAGCAGGCAGAGGCACATCAGGCTCGGCAGCAGGCAGAGGCACATCAGGCGGAGCAGCGGGCACTGGGCCATCAGGCGAGGCAGCGGGCACTGGGCCATCAGGCGAGGCAGCGGGCACCGGGCCATCAGGCAGGACAGCGGGCACCGAGTCATCTGGCTCGACAGCGGGCACCGAGTCACCTGTCACAACAGCGGGCACTGAGTCATCTGGCACGACAGCGGGCACCGAGTCACCAAGCTCGACAGCGGGCACCGAGTCATCTGGCATGACAGCAGGCACCGAGTCATCTGGCAGAATAGCGGGCACCGAGTCACCAAGCTCGACAGCGGGCACCGAGTCATCTGGCACGACAGCGGGCACCGAGTCATCTGGCACGACAGCGGGCACCGAGTCATCTGGCACGACAGCGGGCACCAAGTCACCAAGCTCGACAGCGGGCACCGAGTCATCTGGCACGACAGCGGGCACCGAGGCACCAGGCTGGACCACGGGCACTGAGGCACCAGGCCGAACCATGGGCACCGAGGCACCAGACCGGACCATCAGGCTGGATCGGTTCATCAGGCTGGATCACGAACACCGGGTCATCAGGCTGGATTGGGTCATCAGGCCCGATCGGGTCATCAGGCCGGGTCGGGTCATCCGGCTGGATCACGAACACCGGGTCATCAGGCTGGATCGGGTCATCAGGCTGGATCGGGTCATCAGGCTGGATCGGGTCATCAGGCTGGATCGGGCCATCAGGCTGGATCACGAACACCGGGTCATCAGGCTGGATCGGGTCATCAGCCTGGATCACGAACACTGGGTCATCAGGCTGGATCGGGCCATCTAGCTGGATCGGGCCATCAGGCTGGATCGGGCCATCAGGCTGGATCATCAGGGTCATCAGGGATCGGGTCATCAGCCTGGATCACGAACACTGGGTCATCAGGCTGGATCGGGCCATCTAGCTGGATCGGGCCATCAGGCTGGATCACGAACACCGGGTCATCAGGCTGGATCGGGTCATCAGGCTGGATTGGGTCATCAGGCATCAGGGCATCAGGCTGAACAACGGAAGGCGGGTTCTCAGACAGCAGGCTGACCGGTTTGGATACTGGTAGGATGGTACTGCTTGGAAAGAATTTTTGCTTCTTCTTGGGTTTAGTTACTAGGGCACTGCAAGTAAATGCAGGTCTGTAATTGGATGGAGTAGCTGGGGACAGAGAAGAGCTGGAGGGTGGAACAGAGGAGGGAATAGTTGTTACAGCAGCCTTTTTTACAGAGTTAAAGGCAGGATAGGTGCAGCGAGTGGGAACAGGGTACGGACATGTGGTAGATAGCAGGGTATATTGGGCTGTAACTGGGGGTGCTGTCGGGAATGCAGGAATAGAGCTTTGAGCATAGGAATAATTAGAAGCAAGATGGGTTTGTTGCAAGCTGCCTGAGGCTGGGTGTAACAAGTCTGACCAGGACTGTAGTATTGGTTGAACAAAACTCCGCTTACACATAGCCTGTCTGACCAAAGACTGCACTGCGTTTATACACTCCACTAGCACATGTGGTGAACATGCTGAATATCATTCCCAGAAGCAATCCGGATCATCCTCCGACAACCATACCAGTGATTCTATTTGATCCACATTGAATGGTGGAAGAAAGTCATCCCTGCTTTCTGGGGTACTAGATGAAGCCAACTCAACACAAGCCTGAATCAATGGTTGCACCTCAGAGAACTCTGTGCCCTGATCTACTAGGGAATGAGCGACCCGTATGCATTCTAGCACCTGGTATACTCCTGCAGAGTCTGATAGGCATATTCTCTGTCGTCTAAGACTAGCAAATACAAGTGTATACCACCTCCTCAGGATGCATCCTTCCCAACAACAAGCCAATATGGCTTCCCTGTGCAGCCACTTCTGGTCAGGAATGGCCTTGGTGTAATGTCAAGGCTCCCGGTAAGACTAGAGATGCGTGAACTGACACAGGGAAACGCAGACTGAAGTATGGTGTAACAATATAATTTATTAAAGGTTATACACAAATATCAACACACAATATAACAAACCAAACCTCCAACTGATAACGGAATGTACACAGACGAGAGCAGTCAGGGCTGGTGAGGTGGAGTGGTCAGGCGGGCCGGGTCAGGAACCATCGGGCAGACAAGACACAAAGGAGTAGGCAGAGCGTAGTCAGATGGGACAGGTCAGGAACAATCAGGCAGACAAGGTACCGAAGGAGCAGGCTGGAGAGTGGTCAGGAATAGCCGAGGTCAGGACAGGCGGAGTTCATACAGGGTCAGGATCAAAGCAGAATCAGGAATCAGGCAGGAAGCAGACAGGATGCAGGTACAGGGGCTCATGGGAAACATACACCAAGGCACTGACTGCAGGTCTGGCCATCCCTTAAATACATCTCCTGCAATCAGCCTCAGGTGATGGCTGATTGCAGGAGTGAGCTTCTGGTTGCTGAGAGCACCCGCTGGCCAGCCCTGGTACTGCAGCCCACAAGGCAGGTGAGTCCCACCACCATTGGCGAGTCCATTCCTGACAACCGCCGGCAGGTCCATAACAGAACCATATGGCCATGACAGAGTCTGGAGGAGGACCCTCTCCCTGGGAAGAGACCCTCTCTCTGGGAACACTTGGCGGCGCTCACACAGTTAAAACACTAGAAGAAGGATATAAGCATCTGGAGGGACAGGTTCAGAGCCTGGCCGCAACTGCGCCCACAACACCAGATCCGGTTAGTGCGCCTTCTGCCAGGAGTTCAGCTGAACCTTCCACTGGAGCTGCATTCTCCATCCCTCCGCCAGAACTACTAGTGCCAACATCCAAGCGGTTCAATGGGGATCGAGGAAAGTTCAGGGCCTTCCAGAACTCCTGCCAGCTTTATTTTGATCTGCAACCCCGGACCTTCTCAGCTGAATCCGTGAAGGTAGGATTTATTATATCCTTGTTGCAGGGTGAACCCCAGGGATGGGCTCACTGCCTGATGGAGACTCGCCACCCACACCTGAACTCTGTTACCACCTTCTTCAAGGCAATGGCGCAGCTATACAATGACCCACATTGAGCCGCCTCGGCTGAGGCAGCCCTCTATTCCTTACAGCAGGGATGCCGGGCTGTGGAAGATTACGCAGCCGAATTCAGGCGTTGGAGTGGAGACACTCAGTGGAATGACGCAGCCTTGCGTCATCAATTTCGGTTGGGCTTGTCTGACCCGTTAAAAGATGAATTTGCCAGAGTAGGAGTACCTCACTCCTTGGAAGACCTAATAGACCGGGCCATCCAGATCGATCGTAGGTTGTATGAAAGGAGACAGGAGAGGTCCAGCCAGGGGCCGAGACCCACATGGATGCTGCCAAGGGTACCAGTCTTGCCAAAGGTCAGTGTTGGCAATCGGAGTCCGGAATCATCAGATGGGGCTGAGCCCATGCAGATCGGTCTGATGCGGTTGTCCCTCTCAACGGAGGAACGCCAGAGATGTCGGTCGAACAATCTATGCCTCTACTGCGAAGCAGCGGGTCACATGGTGCGCTCCTGTCCAGAGAAGTTCCGTAAGTCCTCTTCTATTAATTCTGCTATGTCTACTGTGCGCACAGGAAACCACACTCACTTGGCTGTGCCTGTGTCTTTTCAGCTCCCCGGAAGAATCGTACAGGTGACAGCTATTATTGACTCCGGGGCGTGTAGCTGCTTTGTTGACCTTAGCTTCGCAGCCCAGCAGCAGATTCCTTTGCTCACCAAGGAGCATGGCCTGAACCAGGGGTGGACTGACAACTCATGGGGCCCCCGAGCAATAGGGGATCATGGGACCCCTGTGTCCTTGCCCAAAAAAGCCTATGAAAAAGGTACCAGGGGCATCTCATGGGGCCCCCTACTGACCCTGGGCCCTCGGGCAGTGCCCGAGTTTCCAAATGGTCAGTCCACCCCTGGCCTGAACATTTTTTCAGCCGAATTAAATCGGGGACAGTAGATTGGGAAACCCCTCCTATACACAACACATTGGCAGGGCAAGAGCTTCTCCGTTTGGACACCATTGTGTCCCCCCTATTTCCAGTTATATTGGGGCTTCCCTAGCAAAGAGCCCACGACCCCCAAATTGACTGGAAGGCCGGGTCGATTCAGTTTCATTCACCCTATTGCCAGGAGCACTGCTTACCCGGGTTACCACTAGATACACCAACCTTATTAAGTGTGAGTACTGACACCGAGATAGCCCAAATTGTGCCTGCGGCCTATCATCAGTTTCTTGATGTGTTTAGCCCTCGGGGGGCAGATATTCTTTCCCCGCATCGGGCTTACAACTGTCCCATTGATCTTCTCCCGGGTTCTGAAATACCTTTTGGCGAATCTTTCCCCTGTCCGAACAAGAGCTGGGGGCACTGAAGGAATATATTGATGAGAGCCTTCGGAAGGGTTTTATCCGCCCTTCCACATCACCGGCTGGGGCAGGGATCTTTTTTGTTGAGAAGAAGGACCAATCCCTGAGACCATGTGTCGATTATAGGGACTTAAATAAAATCACAGTCAAGAACCGCTACCCCCTTCCCTTGGTCCCTGAGCTGTTCCAGAGGTTGAAGACAGCTTCCATTTTTTCTAAACTCGATCTCAGGGGCGCTTATAACCTGGTCCGTATAAAGGGACAAGTGGAAGACGGCTTTTCGCACTCGGTTCGGGCATTTTGAATGTTTAGTTATGCCATTCGGATTATGTAATGCGCCGACCACGTTTCAGCATTTCGTGAACGACATTTTTAGAGCCTTTTTGGACATTTTTGTAATTGTGTATCTAGACAACATTTTGATCTTTTCCTCGTCCCTGGAGGCGCATCGGGGGCATACTCCGTCAGCACGGGCTCTATGCCAAAGCTGAGAAATGAAGTTTCGAGCAGAGTAGTATCTTGTTTTGGGTCTCATTATTTCCATCACTGGGATCGCTATGGACCGCCAGAAAATCTCTGCAATTTTGGAATGGCCGGCCCCCACGGATAAGTAGGGGGTTCAGAGGTTTATCAGGTTTGCTAATTTTTATAGGAAATTTATAAAGAATTTCTCAGGCCTGGTAGCACCCATCACCCAGCTCACAAAGGTGGGAATACATTTTCAATGGACCCCAGCAGCACAGGCTGCCTTTGAGGCTTTCAAGAAACTGTCCACAACAACTCCCATCCTGAGTCACCCTGATGCGTCGTTACCGTACATATTAGAGGTAGATGCATCAGAAGTAGCTGTAGGAGCAGTATTGTCACAAAGAGTAGGGGCCAAGGAACTAATGCATCCGATGGCTTTTTCTAGGAAGCTCTCCCCCTCGGAAAGAAATTATGACATTGGGGATCGGAAATTGTTAGCCATTAAGGCAGCATTAGAGGAGTGGCGGTATCTATTAGAGGGAGCTCTACACCCCATTTTGGTCTATACCAACCATAAGAATCTTGAGTATCTGAAGACAGCTAAACGCCTCCGACCACGCCGGGCCAGATGGGCACTATTCTTTGCAAGGTTCAACCTACATATTACCTATTGTCCTGGGTCTAGAAACACAAAACCGGATGCTCTCTCCCGGATTTTTGAGGACCCTAAAGAAATACCCCAACCGGATATCATCTTACTGGCAGGTAGTTTCTTATTGCTCCAGTCTGAGCTTTTGTCCAAACTACAGGCTGCTTCCACCAGGGTTCCTGATCTACCTGGAACCT